ATGCCTTCACAGCAGTATATGAATTACTGTTTGTATTGAATAAGTGGAGAACGTGTATATGTTTGCTACAAAACAGCTGCTGTCTCCCTTCCATCTCCTAGCTCTCTGAAAGAATATCCCTGTAGGAAGCTGTAAGTGAAAACATGCTAGAAAAGCAATTTGGGGGCCTGTAGTTTAGAACAACCAAGTTGACACATCACAAAGCCATCACATTCCTCTTATATACAGAGAAAAAAAATAAATTGATTATAATCTTAATGCTTTTATTAATAATAGAAATAAAAAGAACATACCATTGATTGCAACCTACTATGTACCAGTTACTTGGTATATGATGTCATTTAATATTATCAAATATTTATGATTACTTTGTTTCACTTATCAACTGGAATGAAAGTTATGCAAAAGAAGAACTTAATTTGACTTGTGAAGAGTTCTATTCCCAATGCCTAGAAGAGGTTCTGGAACTTGAACATTACTCTCTAAATAAATCAATAAGCAGACCAACCAATAAAGAAGTTTAACGTGTTTACAACAAGATTATAAAATAATTACCCTCATTTTATAAATAATAAAATAAAAATTTAAATAACCTGTCCTAGATGTGAAACAGATAAACGGTAGAAACAGGTTGAAAAGTGAAAACTGAAAGTTTAGTCGCTCAGTCGTGTCCGACTCTTTGAGACCCCATGGGTTGTAGCCTACCAGGCTCCTCTATCAATGGGATTTTCCAGGCAAGAATACTGCAGTGGGTTGCCATTTCCTTCTCCAGAGGATTTTCCTGACTCAGGGATCGAACCCGAGTCAGAAACAGGTTGCAAATCCCTAAAACTTTTAGTTCCAAAGTCTGAATTTTTTGTATACTGCTATTATACCCACTAAATGTATTTATTTATTCTTATATAAAGGCCCTTTATAAACTGTAAGATGTTATCCTAATTAAGGGATCATCACCACTCATTTTATTATTTAAGATAAGAAGAAGGAGAGGAGAAGAGAGCGAGCAAAGCATGAGTAGATACAATTGCATCCATGGAAAAGGGGATGCGAAAACAGAGATCCGGGGATGTGACAAGTGAGGTCAGTGGAAGGCCGTTTGGTCTGGAAAGAGCCCCTGGAGAGGGAACCAGGCTCTAAGACAGACAAGATCAATATGAAAATCCAAAGCATTATCTTTGTTTACATCCCAGGTACTGGAGTGTGAGAGTCTCCTGCAAGCAAGGGAGCGGGGCTATAAGTGATGAATGTCCCACTTCAATGACACTTTGCAAAGCCTTCATCATGTACTGGCAGGAAAGTCACAAGAGAATAAATGACTTTCTTTTAAGTTCCAAGAGCAGGACAGAGGAGACAGACAGTGTGAATGTCACAGTCCCCATTCAATTGATTTCTCAGTTGCTCATACTAAAGAGCAATGTCCCAAGGGAAGAGAAATAAACACACAGACCCAACCAAATTTGAGTTGTCTGTAATGAAACCCAGTAAATTTATCTTATTTATTTTTCAAGAAAACTTTGCATGGAAATGTAACAAAATGCCAAAAAAAGAAAACCAAAGAAAAATTAATCATTATTTATTTCATCATGCCTACAATTTTTTTCAAGTTTTCCATTTTAACTTATGAGTTTCAGGTTTAAATTTACACACTGGCAAACACTTGCAAATCACATAGTTATGCTTCATATTAATAAAACCACATATATTAAAATGAAAATTAATAAACCACAAAAGAGAATGAAAAGTTGTTTGGAATTTTCAAGTATTACTTGCTCATCCCATGGCCTCTGTAAAAATGTATTTTCCTTATGCATACAAGGATTCGTTCACTGACTGTAAAACTGAGAGAAATGTATGGGGTGAAGGATACTATTAGCAGTAACATTTCAACTAAACTATAAAAAGTAACGTGATTTTTTCAACAATCTGGAATGAAGATAGTTACATCATAGATCTAAGGGAAACTAGAATCCAATTTTTTTTTTAGAAAAAAGGAAAATAAATCATAACAGGAGCACATCTAGACTATAAAACAAGCAATCCCTGTCCCTTTGAGAATCAGTCATTAGTTTACAAAGAGGATGAGTCTCTTGGTAGGAAGTCAATGAAGTCACCCACAAAAGCTCGGAAAGGCCAGTTGCATAAAATAGGATATTTTCTCCGGAGTATATTCCTCCATTCATCCTTTCATCTCTTCAAATATTTTGATATTTATTGAGCATCTGTTCTGAGCCAAAGACTGTCCTAGGAGTTGGAGATTCATTGGTCAGAAGATTAAGGTTTCTGGTTTCTGATTTCAAGTAGTTGATAGATTGGAGAAGCCATGTGAACAAGGATTCTCAATTCCACACAAATAACTGGTGTTATAAAATAATTGATGAGGTGATGCGGTAGACTCACTGGAGGAACACCTCAATTCCATTCAAGACTTTATATGTTTTTCAGAGGAGTCAGTGCCTAAGGTGAGGCTTGAACAAAAGAGCAGAAATGAACAGGATGAAGAGAGCACAGCGGAGGTGGCCAAGAGGGAACAACAAACAAAGAAGTGAGGATGCTCAGTCATATCCGGCTCTTTGCGACCCCATGGACTGTAGCCCACACGGCTTCTCTGTCCACGGGGGTTCTCCAGGCAAGAATACTGGAGGGGGTTGCAATTTCCTCCTCAAGGGAATCTTCCCAACCCAGGGATCAAACCTGTGTCCATCTCCTGTGTCTCCTGAATTGCAGGCGGATTCTGTACCACTGAGGCACCTGGGAAGCCTGTGGCTCAGTTTAGGAATGTGAAAATAGTTTACTGTGATTAGAGTATAGCAATGAAGAAATTGGTTTTAGGTGAGGCTGAAGAGGGGTGCAGGGAGTAGATCATGAAGAAATTGGTAATTCAAGATAAGGCATTTCATTTGCTATCCCAAGAGCAAAGGGGATGTCATTGTATTTTAATCAGAGAAATTAAGTCTCTCAATTCCAGAGGGATGCAGTGGTTTCACAGTTTCAGACTATCAGCTCAGACAGTCAGGACATGGGAGGGGTGGGTGAGAAGCCCTACTAAATAGACCCATCCCTCTCCCCATCCCTGGGGCTCTCCTCTGAGCACCTGCATAAATGAACTCTGATTTACCATTTGAGGAAGCCCACTGGAGCAACAGCCAAAAAGCCTCTGGAAAATACTCTCATTAAGATTACACAAATACAGATCTATTACCAACCTAGCAAAACAAAATTATAGCCATAGATCAGTGTCCTAAAGATTTCAGTGACACTAGTTGTAACGCCTTTACCCAGCTGGCTTTGGAATTCTAGTACAACACACTCCAATTTTTTTTTTTTTTTTAGCTGCAAACCAACAGACTGGACAACACCATGAGGGCATTTGTCTACATTTATATTGTATTAAGAGCCTACTCAGAAACATGTGATGCCTCATTCTGACAGCATCTCTGTTTTATGATTCCTGTATTGAGGATGATGTGCGAGGTCTAAGTAGTCTATATTCAATGAGTCCTTGAGTTACACTCTTAAATCAAATGATCCTTAAGAAAGAAAGAAATTGAAGTCACTTAGTCGTGTCTGACTCTTTGTGACCTCATGGACTGTAGCCTGCCAAGTTCCTCTGTCCATGGTATTTTCCAGGCAAGAATACTGGACTGGGTTGCCATTCCCTTCTCCAGGGGATCTTCCTGAATGAAGAAATGGGAGACCAGGGAATGAACCCGGGTCTCCCACACTGCAGGCAGATGCTTTACTGTCTGAGCCACCAGGGAAGCCCAGATCCTTAACTGTAAATATTTTTACCCCTTATAGCAGCTTACCTGAACTGTCCATTTCTGTGACTGATGCTGCCTAAAAACCTCCTTTCTCTTTATACTCTGTGTAGACCTCTTGATGAGAGTGAAAGAGGAGAGTGAAAGAGCTAGCTTAAAGCTCATCACAAAAAACTAATATCATGGTATCCAGTCCCATCACTTCATGGCAAAGAGAAGGGGAAATAGTGGAAGCAGTGACAGGTTTTATTTTCTTGGGTTCCAAAATCACTGAAGTTGGTGACTGCAGTCATGAAATTAAAAGATGCTTGATGTTTGGAAGAAAAGCTATGATAAACATAGACACTGTGTTAAAAAGAAGAGACATCTCTTTGCTGAAAAAAGGTCCATATGATCAAAGCTATGGTTTTTCCAGTAGTCATGTACAGAGTTGGACAATAAAGAAGGCTGAGTGCAGAAGAATTGATGCTTTCAAACTGTGGTGCTGGAGGAGACTCTTGAGAGTCCCTGGGGCAACAAGGAGATCAAACCAGTCAATCCTAAAGGAAATCAACCTTGACTATTCATTGGAAGTACCATTGAAAAAGCTGAAGCTCAAATACTTTGGCCATCTGATATGAAGAGTCTACTCATTGGAAAAGTCCCTGATGCTGGAAAACAATGAAGGCAGGAGAAGAAGGGGATGACAGAGGATGAGATGGTTGGATGACATCACTGACTCAATGGACTTGAGTTCAAGCAAACTCCAGGAGATAGCAAAGGACAGAGGAGTCTGGCATGCTGCAGTCCATGGGGTCACAGTCAGACATGACTTAGTGATTGAACAACAATGACAGAGCTCTATTAGAGATCATTCTAAATCATTCTGTTAGAGATCATCTGCACTAAACTCATCACCTCTTTTGGCCCCGGCCACCCCTTTGGATTGTGGGTTACTGGAGCACACAGGCTGCATCTTGTTCAGAGTAGAGGCTTAGAGAGTGGGGATTTAATCTCTCCTCTAAAATCAGGGAGAGTGGGAAGTCGGGTTGTTCAAGTAAGGTCAGATCCATCATGCTTGGCAGACCCTGTACCTGATTTAGCCTCAACATCTCTGGTGCCCAAAGCCTCTTTATTTCCCCTCCATTCCTCTCTGCAAGCAATTTATGACACCCCTCACCACTACCACTCCTATGCCCAACCCCTAGATGGTCTCTTTTTGCCTTCTGCCTGCCTGCCTCTCCCTCTGTGTTTTGTCTTCAGATTCAAAAATGAACTAAAGCCTGAATAGCCTGCAGGTATTCTTCTGTGATTTCTATCATCTGACAACTGCAGATGGATGACATGAATATCAAGAAAATTATGGTAAGGAAAAGATATTTGAAAAGAAATACCTGACAAAGTGGGGCTTTTACATTTTTATATAAGGAACTACAAAGCTCAATGCTAAAAAACAACCCATAAAAGCAACAGGGTTAAATGACCAAAATAGTGTATGACTTCTGGGTTGGTGATGATTTTCTATTTCTTTACTTGGGTGCTTGTTATATACGGAATATTCCTTCGTGAAAATTAATTTAGCTATTCACATATAATCTGTGCATTTGGGATTTGTTTAACTTTGATAGAATGATATAAAATGAAAGGGAATTGAAAGTATTTTTATATAAAAAATTGCCTTGTGAGTTTCTGGCCTATAGTAATTATTTGGAAAGCTATTTTTAATAGAAAAGGCAGATAATCAATCAATAATAAGTAGTTAATAAATAAGTCCTTTCTAATGTTCCAAAGATAAACCCATGGAAATTCATATGTCTGTTACCAGTGCAAGCACTGAACTTACTTTTTTCTGAAGGAAGCGGTACACAAACATGCAAGAAAGCATTATTTTCTGTTCTACTTAACTTGCCAGCACAGTCTTAAATGTTAATTTTTAAGTTGGCACTTGATTGATTGATTTTATACAGTTGCTGGGCTTAATCTTCAAAATCAGCAAGCAATTATAAGCATCAATTAATGGGCTAAAGATTTTTCTATTTGAGACCACAATTCTATTTAATTCTAAAGGCACATTTTTCAGGCATTATTTCTTTTACAATGAGGAGATGGAGGCTAGTGGTATTTTAGTGCAAGTGTGCTCAGTTGTGTCTGACTCTTTGCAACCCCATGGACTGTAGCCCACCAGGCTCCTCTGTTCATGGGGATTTCCCAGACGAGCATACTGGAGTGGATTGCCATTTTGTCTTCCAGGGAATCTTTCCAATCCAGGGACTCAACCCATGTCTCTTGCATGTCCTGCATTAACAAGTGCATTCTTTAACACTGCACCACCTGGGAATGCTATCAAATTCAGGTTTTCCAATTGCACCAACTTGTCTTAATTGTAGTTTTACAGAAATGAGGATGGGAGTGACAGTGGAAGATTTCTGTTTATCTGTTCTAGTTAGTTTCTAAGGGAATTTGTTTCTTCAGTACCCCAGAGAGGGGCTCATGATCTCTTACCATAGGTGTCCATGGCCTGTGTGGGCTGATGTCATCTAAAGAAGCTGACTCAAATTGCCAGAAGAGGGTGACACCTCTTTTGAGTTCAAGAATGGACCTGTGAGATTCTCTTGATAACAATCTAGCAGCAATCTTCATCCCCCTTGTATTTTGTAAAATCTTCACTCTATAAAATGACTAAGAAGACTCTTTAGGACTTAACTTCAGTTTTTTTGTTTGTTTTTTATATCCCTACATCTCACACTAAACACTATTAAGAGTATCTGTAGATCTGTTTACTAACTTGAAGGGGATTGGTGAAAAGGTATACTGGGTTGACTTTGGGGTACAGGGTTTATATAAGTAGAAAACATAGTGTATTAGAAAGAGCATAGATTTAGAAGAAAATATTAATTAAAGAAATACTGTTTAAGGAGTTCTTGCTATGTGTCAGGTGATTTAAACACACTATTGTATTCTCACAATATGTTGAATATTTCTGCCTTGCACTGTGGTAACTAACCTTAGCAAATGCCTCACCAATTCATGGAGTTAAGCTATTCACACCAAGCAAACCATTTCAGATTCTTCTGACAGCTCACCTGTCATATGAAATCTACCCCAGTGACAGACTTGTTTCACTTCATTCTTCTTGCTTTTCCCTTCTGTTTCTAGGGATACTGTCACTAGCTTAAGCCGGGACAAAACTCTGTGACTGAGAGAAAATTATATTATATATAAAGAATATACTTTGAACACCTCCCCTTCTCCTCTCTTTAAGCTAGAGCCCGCTCTATCCTTCCTCCTCAAATCTAGGTCACAGATTGTCTTGCTTTGATTTACTTTCTTCATTACACTTTATTACTACCCTGTTATAATTAGTAAGGCCATGTAGAAGATTTATCTTTTAGGAAACAGGAGATCTAATTTATAAACAGCTCTTCCTCACACCTGCCTAGTCCAACTCTTGTGACTTAACAGGGTGTCTCCTCGGTCCTTCTTGTTCTGCCTAGAACCTCAACTTCTTTTAGGCTTCTTAACTGTTCTCCATATTCATTCAATTTAAACATATATGCAGAGACTATATATCTATACTTTTAGTAAAACTACACTCAAGAGTGACAAGGGGACAAAACTGGACCTTGACATAAAGCTACCAACTGAATTATATATTCCTCAATTTACAAGGGAATCACGTGGTATTTGAATATGAAAATGTTAAGAAAACAGAATAAAATCACATAATTACAAGAGACAGACTCGGATTTCTAAATTAGATCTCTTTAGAGAATCGAAATCCTGGGCTTTCAACCCTGACTCTTGACTGACAAAAAGATCTTGCCACTGTATGCCTTATTAGTCCCATTGAGCTTCAATTTCCTCATTTTCAAAGTGAATATTTTAACATTCTAGATATACATATATATATATATAATACACACACACACACATATATAACTTGATGATTATGAAAACTAGCCTTACATTTCTCATAGCAGCATAACAGGTAAAAACAGTATCCAAATATTAACTACTCTTGTTATTCTTTTTTTAAACTTATGTTAATGTTGCACCATATCATTTAATTATTGTTTTTGCAAGTTTTTTTTATAACCCCTTTAATGACTAACTTGTAAAGGAATACAAAGTTTCTTCTGTATTACACAGGTAGACTGAGCGTCCTGGGTGGGCACAGGGACGCAGTGGGAGACGTGGAGAAAGACTGAAAGGATTCCCGATGCTCTTAAGCCCCTCCACCCTGATTTGAAAGAAGTTACCACAGGCTTTGTGTAGGAGCATATTTCTGTCTTGTGCTTCATTGTAAAGTCCAGAACAAAAGTTTTTCTTCATTATCAGTCCCAAACATTGATGCAATGAATTTCTTAGATCCATACTTATTCTGGGACAGACAGAAGTTCTGCTTTTGACTGTTGTTTAATCATCTCCCTCTCTAGACTGATTCCTTCTCTGATGTTTTTTAACACTATTTGCTCTTATTGAATCCTTTCCCTTTCCACATCTCTCATCATTCCTTCTCTCCACATCACTACAATTTTAATCCCTTTTGTGCGGTATTTTTGTGGTAGAAGTATCACATTTATAAATGTACTTGGTGTGAAAGGAAGAATTCTAAAGATAGCCCCTCAAAGTTCTCACTCTCTGGTTATCAAANCCTCCCACCACCCTCCCCATCCCATCCCTCTGGGTCATCCCAGTGCACTAGCCCCAAGCACTTTTTTTTTCTTCTGTAATCTACATCAGAGTTTCTGCTCTCAAAGTCTGAACTATTAGAGAAATTCCCAGAGACAAACATTAAAGAGATATGAAATAGTTCTTTAACTGTAATTACAGTCCCTGGGGATTTTACTTTTATTTTTTTTCCACCTGAAGAATTTGTCCTCAGTTTTGTCATGTTAAAAGATGAATGGATGGTTGATTAGTTAATATGCTCTTCTTCTAAAACCTTCTTTAAAAATTACAGCCTGAAAAAAATCAACACTTTGAATCATTGTTAGTTATGTGAAATATCAAGCAGTAGGTAGCCAGAGTAATTTAAGAAATTATGCATGGATATCTGTGTCTGTTGGTAAGCCATGTTGGGTGTCTTGAAGCTGAAACAGGCTGAATCTGAGACTATCAGCAGTGGACAATTATAAATAAAAGGAATTTTGCTTTCGCTATATAGTGTTTAGTGGTTTGTCATACTCATGAATAACTCATTATATTTTGCACTCCATGCTAAGTTGCTTCAGTTGTGTTCAACTCTTTGCAATCCTATGGACTGTAGCTCTCTAGGCTTCTCTGTCCATGGGGTTCTCCAGGCAAGAACACCACAGTGGGTTACCATTTCCTTCTCCAGGGGATCTTTCTGACCCAGGAATCAAACCTGTATCTCACAACTTCTGCATTGGCAAGCGAGTTTGTTACCACTAGCTCCACCTGGGAAGCCCATTATACTTTTAGTGTCCTACTAAAGTCAAAAAGTACATACTAGTCCAAGAAATACATATGAGACAACCATTTTAGAATTGGCACATGTATTTAAACATCTTAAAATTTTTTAAGATTATCCCCTAATTCAGTTTTTAAAGCTTCTTGATGAATACTGTGTTGTGAAATTATATGTATATATATATATATATGTATATATATATACATATATATATATATTAGTTCAGTTCAATTCAGTCGCTCAGTCATGTCCAACTCTGTTGAGACCGGCTCGACAAGCAGGGTTTCCGAAACTGCAATACGGCAAGAGAATGAGAAACAAGACAGGAATTCAGACAAAAGCGAGGATCAGGGGACGGACCAACACCGCTCCAAGGTGAAGGCGCCGAAACTGAATCCAAGCCAGCTTTATTATACTTTCAGCCGTGAATGAAAGAATATGCAGGGAGTTAAACTATAACTCATGTAGACTTCAGGGCCAAAGAACAAAATGGTTATTAACCATTGAATAATTAGGAAACAGTAATCAATAACAAATCAGTAATTAAAACTAATATTCTTATCTATAGATTTTCCACCAGATACGTAAAACATGTGACTCTGAGACACCAGTTGAGAAACTGTCTGGGATTGGTTTTCCGACCCCAGGATCATATCTTGTTTTCAAGATTATGAACTCTTCCCTCTGGACTTGTTCCAAGAGTCTCATGCCTTATAGCATCCAGTTTATCAATAATTATAAATTTCTTTTGCAGCCCTTGCCAGTGCCTGCTTTTCTTTTATTCTTCCTGTCTCCTACACGACTATTTGCAAGCCCATGGACTGCAGGCCTCCCTGTCCTTCACCAACTCCAGGAGCCTGCTCAAACTCATGTCCATCAAATCAGTGATGCCATCCAAACAACTCATCTTCTGTCATGCCCTTCTCCTCCTGCCTTCAATCTTTCCCAACACCAGGGTCTTTTCCATTGAGTCAGATCTTTGCATCAGGTGGCCAAAGTATTGAAGTTTCAGCTTCAGCATCAGTCCTTCCCATGAATATTCAGGACTGATTTCCTTTAGGATGGACTTGTTTGATCTCCTTGCAGTCCAAGAGCCTCTCAAGAGTCTTCTCGAACACCACAGTTCTAAAGCATCAATTCTTTGGTGCTCAGCTTTCTTTATGGTCCAGCTCTCACATCCATACATAACTACTGGAAGAACCATAGCTTTGACTAGATGGATCTTTGTTGGCAAAGTAATGTCTCTGCTTTTTAATATGCTGTCTAGATTGGTCATAGCTTTTCTTCCAAGGAGCAATCACCTTTTAATTTCATGGCTGCAGTCACCATATGCAATAATTTTGGAGTTCAAGAAAAGAAAGTCTGTCACCGTTTCCATTATTTCCCCATCTGCTTGTCATGAAGTGATGGGGCCGGATATCATGATCTTCGTTATTTGAATTCTGTGTTTTAAGCCAACTTTTTCACTCTCCTCTTTCACTTTCCTCAGGAGGCTGTTTAGTTCCTCTGTTTCTGCCATAAGGGTAGTGTCATCTGCATATCTGAGGTTATTGATATTTCTCCGGGCAATCTTGATTCCAGTTTGTGCTTCATCCAGTCCAACATTTCACATGATGTACTCTGCATATAAGTTAAATAAGCAGGGTGAATATATAGCTCCCTGGGTGGCTCAGTGGTGAAGAGGCCGCTTGCAATGCAGGAGCTGCAGGTTCAACCCCTGGATCAAGGAGATGCTCTGGAGAAGAAAAGGCAACCCACTTCAGGATTCAGGCCTGGGAAATCCCATAGACAGCGTAGCCTGGTGGGCTACAGTCATAAAGTCATAAAAGAGTCAGACACAAGTTAGCAACTAAACAACAGCAAATGTATATATGTGTATATGCGTGTGTATTTGTTTCTGCCCCTGGTACTAATTATTTGGTCCTTGATCCTAGTTTCTAACAGAGTTCCTAATATCCTTCTGATTTCTTGAATGATTGGGGTGTCTTATGCAGAGATCCTAAATCCCTTGGAATTTCCTGGATGATAGGAACATCTTTCGTTCTAATAGGTGATGACTCTTGGTGGGCTTCTAGATGGAGGCTGTCACTAGGAAGACCAATCCATGATTAGAAATTTGGAACTTACAGCCTCCATTTTTCAGAGAGGGGAGGGGACTGGAAAACAAAGTTAATAATTGATTTATTATGATGTTTGTCATATATCTGTTGTTTAAAAATCATATTTATCATTATCTATATTAAGGCAGGATAGAAGTTGTTCGCAAGTTGTCAAGATGAGAATGATAACTACAAATATTACTATCACTATTATTTTTATTAAACTATAACCAGTTTTAAACAATGGGAATATGACAAACATTGTATTAAACCCCAGAGACATAATATGAATACATGTAACATTTGTTATCCAAAAGCTCAGAGTAAAGTTGTCCATCTGTGACACTGTGACATTTACTCATCTCATTTAACCATCACAGAATTTCTTTAGGGTAGGCATTATTACTGTATATAATTTTTCAAAAATAGGAAAACAAGGCTCAAAGACGTTATTCCACTTAACCATTCACACAGGTAGAAGGTGTAAGATTAAAATTCTCTTCCCTAATACTGAAAAAAGAGTTTGTTTTGCCACATGTCAAGCATCGTTACTAGAGGTTTTCAGCAGTTGTGTAGTGTTTAATGGAACTAGGGCTTGAAGTAAAATAATACAGTTGGGAAATAAAGAGAGAAATTGACATTCCAAATAGCAGAAAAGATTTCTGTACAAAGATGTGAAAGTATGATATGGCTAGCTATACCATCCCAAGAAGACATTAAATGTTGACAGTGTTTGTATTAAAGAGCCATATTGAACTTCTGGCTGAAGAGGTAAATAAGGAACAAATTATAGGTTGTGATATTGTGTTAAACTGAAAGACCATTAGATGTTTTGAAGCAGAAAAGGAGCATGGTCTAATTTGCATTTAAGAAATTTTTCTATTCTTCTTACTAACAGTGATAATAGAAAGAAAATTTAGTAGTTTTGCCTTTGAATCTGAAACTAAACAGAATTGTATAATCCTATCAATTTGTTCAGTACTGTCAGCGTGAGTAAATTTCCCAGTGGAAAGATAAATGTTAATAAAATTTGACTTTATACCTTCCAGCAATACCTAGTTTGATATTTAAGAAACTTGTCATGTTCTAAAATTGAAATAGTTTTTATCAATATATGTTTGCTTTAGGCATTTCATCATTAGTTGGCATTCTTGACTTTGAACCGACATATCTTATTAGCGTGACCCATGGTGCTTATTTTATGGTTACTTCTAGAGCCACTATAAATTAATAGAATACTTGTGCCTGCAGCATGGATTCTGTATGCAGAAGCGCAAATGGAAGACAATGGATGACTTCTCTGAAGACAGGGTCTTCCAAAGTTTATTCTGTGTTATGTGGGATATTTATAAGCTTTAAGTGAATTTACCAAAGACTATCTCGATATCTTTAATATGTTTATGTTTCTCATTTCTCAAATTGGGCATACTAAGACATTCGTCCAGGGACACTTATTATTCCCCCAAGAAACTTGAGTCCATCTGTCAGGAAAATTATATTGCAGTGATGATAACAGTGCAATTTATTAGACATCTACCCTGGTACTAGCATTCTGCTAGGAAATTATGTAATTTCATTGAATGTAACCCTTAAAGTAGTTCTGTATAGTAGGCGTCTATTTCTGTTTAACAGTGAAACTGAAGCTTAAATATAGTTAAATGCACACAGTTATCGGCAGACCTGGTATTTGGAAGTTACTATGTATGTCTCCTAAACGTATGTTGTTGTGAACATGTCATGTCAAACATCAAAGAAAAGGGTGGGCGTGCTCAGCTGTTGTCATGTCGAACTCAGTGACCCCCTGAGTTTTAGCCTGCCAGGCTTCTCTGTCCATGCGATTCTCCAGGCAGGAATTCTGAAGTGGGTTGCCATTTCATCCTCCAGGGAATCTTCCCGACCCAGGAGTTGGACTGGCATCTCCTGTCTCCTGCATTGGCAGGTGGATGGGGGAAAGGAGATGGGACAAAACCTGGGAAAAGATTGGCCAGTTGACAGAAGGGGTTATACAAGGGGCACACACCTGGAGAAAGGTCAGTAAGAATAGAATGTCTACCTCTGAGTGCCTGACAGAACAATTAGGTCTTGCAAGGCAAGATGTCAGAATATTTATATTGGCAGGCAAAAGACCCATTTCTAAGAGGGAAAGAAAGAGAAAGACGGAGTAAGAAATTTTAGGACTTGAAAAGTTAAGTAAGGAAGGCTGGATCCTAGGGAGAAACTGAATTCCAGCACCAGAACTAGAGGCCTTGTGAGCATTTATATCTGAAATCATGGTGGTACTCAGTTATGGAGGAAGAATTATAAAGAGGGTAGAGTTTTCCGTTTGAAGACCTAGATACAAATCTGGATCTATCATTTACTAGCTTTAGTTAACGATGTTTAACCTTAGTTGGTAAATCACAAAATGAGAATAATACCTCCTTAATACCTAATACTTTGGTCACCTGAGGCAAAGAGCCAACTTATTGGAAAAGACCCTGATACTGGAAAAGATTGAGGGTGGAGGAGGCAGGAGCGACAGAGGTTGAGATGGCTGGATGGCGTTACCAACTCAATGGACATGAGTTTGAGCAAACTCCAGAAGATAATGAAGGATAGGGAAGCCTGGCGTGCTTCCTTCCTTTGGGGTCGCAAAGACTCAGACACCATTTAGCGACTGAACAACAACAATACCTAATACTATTTAGACTGAATATAAGTTTATAAATTCTTTGAGTAAAGAACCTGGTAGTTAAAAATAAAAGGAAATTATGAAAGTAGCATTGTACTAAAGACATATTTATATGACCAAAATTGTTGCATGCAGCCTCATCTGCTAGCTAGTAACACATTTTTATTTATTTTGGAACTGATCATTATTCTGTATAAAAACTAATAAAATACATTTTATATCATTCAGACCATATAGAGTTGTCACCTCCTGTTCACAATTGACACAGCTGGTTTATTATACCTAAGGTGGACTTTTTTTATACTGTCATGTCACATTTCTGATCTAAGTATTTCCTAACATTTAGCATGGTGTCTTGAGATATTGGGGAGGGGAAAGCTAGTGTTGGTAGACATATCCCCATGTTGCACACTCCACTCTGTTAATATTTTTCAGTTTTTTCCCCTTAAAAATTCTATACAGTAAGATGCACAAGATGTTAAGCACACATTTTGATTAGGTTTGACAAATGCACTCACTCACTCCATCACTATACTGAATATCTCCATCACCCCAAAAAGTTGTCTTGTGCCACTTTTCAAGCAGATTCCTTCAGAAATACCACTGAATTCAATTCCCTCACCATAGAGTAGCTTTAACAGGTCTATTCTAGAATATTCTAGAACTAGATGGAATATATGTATTACATATTTTTCTGTAACATTTCTTCACTCAACATGGTAAATTGACTTCAAGCATTTTGTCTTCCTTCAGCAATGTGTGGGGGTTCTGATTGTTCCACATCCTTTGGTTTTACAGATGTAAACAGCTCTGAGAAGATGCTGGTGTCTTAGAAAGGAATCCACCTATCCTGAATATTTGATGGGGCAGAAGTAGAAGAGCAAATGCCAGGAACTAACCAACACTTCCCTCTCATTTTTCCGAATGTTTTTATCCCAGCATACCTTTTCTAGTACCTTTATCTAATGTTTGTGAACATCAGCCTCAGATGTCTGAAATGTCTGTTGTCTAAAGACAGCAGAAGCCTGCCCAGAAAAAGCTGGGTTCCAACTACTCTTTTCCAGTTGATTCTTTCACTTTGTCTCAGGATGTTTGCAGGATTCCTCATCACCCTACAAATTCTTGATTTCAAACAGTTTTCTATCTTAGCAGTGTTTTCTCAAATTTGCTTACTTATGCTGCTTTGATGTGGACATTATTTCCTTAATTTCATGTTTCCCTCTATCAATTCTCTTAAGATTGATTTGCAAGAGGGAAGTCTGCAGCTTGTATTAAATTTGATTCTTTGTAGGCATCTCAAACAAGTTGTTTGTTACATTTGCATACTTAGCATTTTGTGTGGTGTCTGGGTCATAGAAAGGCCTCAAAAAAATATTGCCTACTGATCACTTGAAGCCTCAAGACTTCAGGAAAGCAAGTTATCCCTTAAATTCAAGATGAGGTAATTTATGTCTCAGTGACTCAATAAAGACTTTAATCACAGGTGAAATAAATATTTCACACTTAACATAGTGGATAGTTTTATATATGCATCTTTATTTTGCTTACTGCCACGGTAAGGTTCTAATTAGAAATTAGCAAAGAGAAACAGGGGAACCAGAACCCAGATGCGTGTCCCAGTTCTGTGTTATACCTTGCTGGAGGCACTGATTTTAACCCTCTAAATTTTGCTTATAATTTCAGGGTCATTCTGCCAAATGAGGAAGTTTATTTTGTCTTCTGTTAGTCGCTCAGATATGTCCAACTCTTTGTGACCCCATGGACTGAGGTCCACAGGTTCCTCTGCCCATGGAATTCTCCAGGCAGTAATACTGGAGTAGATAAACATTCCCTTCTCCAGGGGATCTTCCTGACCCAGGAATCAAACCCAGGTCTACTGCACTGCAGGCAGATTCTTTACCATCTGAACCAATTAGTTCCCAAATACAAATATTTTGTGGACATCAGCTGATCATCATCCCAGAAATCCAATCCATAACCAAGGTATATAATTGACTTTATTTTATATCACCTTTTGAAATGCATATGAGCAAGCAAGGATCTTTTAAAAACTCAGGCTGTCTTCACTACTATGCCTGTTTATCATAATGACAGAATGTAAGACATTTTAAGGTGAGGTGCAAATAATGAACTGAAAACAAGCCTGCAAGCCATAACTTTTGATAGAATAAATTAAGGGGACCTATCTGCCAAGCTATGAAACCCAATTGAGGGGCGGTAGCCCTGAAACAAAAAAATCACAACTCTTGGAAACCAGTAAAACTGGTGTGGTTGTAAATCTGTCACATAAAAATCAAGAAACTGCTTATAGTGTCTTCAAAAGGCCAACTTTATGGAAATTATGGTTGAAGGTATTTAAAATAAACACTGTTAAGTAATACATTTCCCTGAGTACGCCTTTATCAAACAACATGAATGGAGTTCTTCCTATCTAACCTATAACTGTTATATTCAACCCAAACTGCTTCAATATCTTGTATGTTTTGAATAGAAATTAAAGAGGCAGAATTTCTTTTGTGCTGAGAATAAGTGTAAAAACTGCTATCTCTCTGTTTGAGGGGTAGGGTATTTGGGAAGATGGCAAGGAAAAGACATGCCTCTCTGAACTAGGATGTCAAGTTGACCTCTTTTGTTTGGAGGACTGGGGTAGCTTGAATAAGATTAAATGTAGAGATTTTTATTTTACACATTTAGGTATCCTTTATAGAAAATACATTTCCATGAGTTAATTTAAGTGTTAATTTCCATGAGTTTTGACAGCCACTCACAAAAGACATTGACAATTTACTTCACTACTGAATAATAGCTTGTACCCTTTCAGTCAATCCTTACCCACAGACAGACTTGTTCTAATTTATGTCAAACAGATTAGTTTTGTCAACCATAAGTTTCATGAAAATAGAATCACACAGACTTCTGCTTCTGATTAAGAAGTACTAACTAAGATTAGATCTATCCTTCCATTTGAAAGAAGTAAAAATGTAGGAAAATATGTGAAAAAAATTGTATTATATTGGACATCAGGTAATGATCTCTGAGACATAACAAACAATGAAGTGAGGCTTAAACCTGTCCCAGCTTGTGGTCATAAGTGAAATTCCATGTAGCTGTATAGAGCTGGTGAACCCAGGCAGAGCTGGAAAGACCTGAATAAAGGACATAGTACTAAATCCAAGGAAATGAAATTGGCTGGAGTGTTCTAGGAAAGAAAGAGCTGCCGAGATGCAGGACGTGGGAGATCTACACAGGATCCCCCTCATGTACTCACAGAGTACTAATCAGAGTATATGTGTGAGTGAAAAATGACCAAGAGACAGTACACAGCCATTCTAGATAATCAGAAGAAAGAAGGTTTTGCACTTACGCAGGACCATGAAGAGTGCCCGGCATTAGCCAGACTGGAGAGCTTCATAGTTTAAAAAGCACTGGGTGGAGTATTCTGAAGGATCTTGCCTCGGTAGTAAGAGATAATCACACCTAGACTATTGAGTACCCTTTGCCCATGTGTTAAGTCGCTTTAGTCGTGTCTGACTCTGCGATCCCATGAACTGTAGCCCACCAGGATCCTCTGTCCATGGGATTCTCCAGGAAAGAATCCTGGAGTGGGTTGCTGGGCCCTCTGCTAGGAGCTTTTCCCGACCCAGGGATCGAACCATGGCTCCTGCATTGCAGGTGGATTCTTTACCACTGAGCCACCTGGGAAGCCTCCCCTTTTCCCATATAACATACCTTAAGAGCTAGACCAGAAAGACTCAAAATGTCTCTCTGGGTACTATAACTGTACCCAGAAAAAAAAAAAATCCAGAATATCTGTGCATGTGTGTGCGTGTGTGTGTGTGTGCGCATGTGTGTGTGCGTGTGTGTGTGTGTGTGCGCACGCGCGCTCAGTTTCTCACCTGTGTCTTACTCTTTTTGACCCCATGGACTGTAGCCCGCCAGACTCCTCTGTCCATGGAATTTTCCAGGCAAGAATACTGGAGTAGATTGCCGTTTCCTACTCCAAGGGATCTTCCTGACCCAAGGATTGAATGCAGTCTCCTGCATCTCCTGCATTGGCAGGCAGATTGTTTACCACTGTGCCACCTGGGCAGGCACGAAATGTCTAGCATCCAATAAAAATGTTATTAGACATGCAAAGAAGCAGATGTATATGATGCAAAATCAAGAGAAAATTAATCAATCAAAATCCTCAAAGAACTAGCACAGATGTTGGAAATTTAGATCAGGACATTAAAACAGTAATTTATAACTGTATCAAATATACTTTAAAAAGTGGAAGAAAAGGTTTAACATGTAGAGATATGAAATATGTAAAACTAGAGGCAAAAACTACAGTGCCTGAGGAGAAAATACCCATGTCTTTGGTAAAATTCTTCTATATCTTTATACATATTATTTACATTATTTTCCACTAGATTCCTTAGAATTTTTGCAGTGCTTTTGTTGTTGTTGTTGTTGTTTATTTGTTTGTTTGTTTGTTTAGTTGATTTTATCTGCCAATCACTGCCACATCTGGGTCATCTCTGACCACTTCTGGTGATTCTTTAAGGAATGTGGATCATATTTTATTTTTCATGTATTATGATTCTGAATTGAGCGTTGAATATTTTTTGGCAACTCAGTAGAGGTTGAAATAAATTATATCCATCTTCAGAAAGTGATATTTCTACTCTCCTGTCAGTTTGCTAGAGTAGGAGCTGGGTTGATACGAGGCAAGATTGAACTGTTTGAGGTCTATTGCAGGCTTAGTTTGATTTAGTTTCAAAAGAGAGATCAAAAATCATTTTCCAGCAGAGACTAGGCTCTTAGCAGTGGCAAGGTTTCTGAAATCTTCTCTGGCACGTCCCGATGCCTAGCCCCTAACCTGTGGGCACTCTCTTACTTCTGTGTCACTAGCGTGTCATTTGTGGAGAGTCCTTTCTCTCTCTCTGGGCTTCCCTGCTGGCTCAGCAGTAAAGAATCTGCCTGCCAGGAGACTTGCAGGAGATACAGGTTCGATCCCTGGGTCAGGAAGATCCCCTGGAGAAGGAAATGGCAACCCACTCCAGTATTCTTGCCTGGGAAATCCCATGGACGGGGAGACTGGCCCGCTATAGCTCATGCGGTTGTAAAAGAGTTTAACATGACCGAGCTACTAAACATTAACTCTCTCTTTCTACTCCAACCTTCAGTTTTCTGTCTTGTTCTTTTTACTGATACTTCCCTGCTTTCTGTGATGACTGGAATTACTTTGTAGGAACTTCTCTCAGCCCTTCTTCCCTGTCCTGTCCTGAGTCATACACTTAACGTGTATGATAGGGATATCATACATATACACAGACAATTTAATGCTTACATACACAGTGTTTTTCCTGAAATAGATTCAAATTAGTTATAATGTTTTCTTTTAAATTACACTATGGAAATATTTCTGTGGCTGTACAAGATGTTCTAAATATCTGGATGCATTGATTTGAAGTGACTTATTTTGTTGGACATTTAAATGACAAAGATTTTTTTTTAATTACTGAAATGTTGTAATAAACAAAATTACATTTTTTGTTTCATTTTCAAATCATGGGGATTTTGTTTTCTTAACTTCTCTCTAGAACAATATGAGTTATAATAAAATTTGAGATTACAGCCTTCCTTCCAGAAAGCCTGTTATAATTATTTGCTTCTATATGTTTCATTAGTCCATAAGTTCATCAAGAAAAGAGGTTGTGAAATTCAACATTCACTTATGCCCTATGTCCTAGTAACATACACACACACACACACGCAGAGAAATATATATATAAAACTATTACTCTGCTCTGGTATAAAATCAGTACAATGTGATTTACTGTTTTATTGGATCTTATCGAGATTTTACTCATTAACCTAAAATGCTTTGGGCTTTGGGGGTATAAAGCCAAACTCTATTACAAGTCATAATTATTCAAATATAACATTCCATGTTTCACTTGAAGTCCCTGTCCCAAAGGAAGTTCTTTTCTTAAAATATTTTTATTCTTTCCTTATAATGAAAATTGTATTTGCTTTCCACTTATAAGTTTTAATACCTCTTTTTCTTCAGATATCTTTGCTTAACTTTCAAAGAATCAGATTAATGCTATTTCTTTCATTACAACTAGCAAAGTCCAAGTAACCTAGTCCAGCCAGAATTACAAGGCTAATGATCAATATCTAAGCAAAAACAATCATTCATCCTCAAAAGTCTGAAATTACACATTCTTAGGACTAAATGGGAATTTGTTTTAACCTCAGACCAAATTATTGTTTGTCAGGAGAAATTTATTGCATTTTAAAGCACCAGAAGATAAACATATTTCAATATAGACTGCCATTTCTTTTTTGCAAGCCAGTATTTATTTAAGCCTATTTTTTTCCTCTGTGCATATTTCTGGCTTTTCCCTCCCAAGCTGTTTGCTGTTTTATAGCAAATGAAAATATGTTTGCGGAAATTGCATATAAAACTGTTTATTGAGACTTAAATCTTCTGTGGCAGTTTTTTTTTTTTTTTCACCAAACCTCACAGTTGCAGTTTCTCTCCCTTCCTCCCTCCCTCTCTCTCTCCCCCTCTCTCCGCCCCTGTCTCTCTGCTTCTCTCCATGCCCTTTCTCAGCCTCAACATTTCACTCTCTCTCTCCAAGAGACTTTGTATAATTAAAATCCTGTATCTTCTATAACCTCGGTCTTTCAATCCAGTAGTTCG